GGAGGCTGAGGCAGGAGAATGGCGTGAACCCGGGAGGCGGAGCTTGCAGTGAGCTGAGATCGCACCACTGCACTCCAGCCTGGGTGACAGAGCGAGATTCCATCTTAAAAAAAATAAAAAATAAAAATAGGCCAGGCGCGGTGGCTCAAGCCTATAATCTCAGCACTTTGGGAGGCCGAGGCGGGCGGATCATGAGGTCAGGAGATCGAGACCATCCTGGCTAACACAGTGAAACCCCGTCTCTACTAAAAAAGACAAAAAAATTAGCCCGGCGTGGTGGCGGGCGCCTGTAGTCCTAGCTACTCGGGAGAATGAGGCAGAAGAATGGCGTGAACCCCGGAGGCAGAGCTTGCAGTGAGCCGAGATCGCACCACTGCACTCCAGCCTGGGCAACAGAGCGAGATTCCGTCTCAAAAAATAAATAAATAAATAAATAAAATAAAAATAATTAGACTGCAACACTGTAAGTATCAAAGCATATTTGGGACATGCCCCACCACTCCCATGTCCCAAGCCCTGGGCAAACACTGCTGAGCGCGGTGGCTCATGCCTGTAATCCCAGCACTTTGGGAGGCCCAGGCAGGTGGATCACAAGGTCAGGAGATCAAGACCATCCTGGCTAACACGGTGAAACCCCGTCTCTACTAAAAATAGAAAAAAATTAGCTGGGCGTGGTGGTGGGTGCCTGTGGTCCCAGCTACTCAGGAGGCTGAGGCAGGAGAATGGCGTGAACCTAGGAGGCGGAGCTTGCAGTGAGCCGAGATCACGCCACTGCAGTCCAGCCTGGGCGACAGAGTGAGACTCTGTTTAAAAAAAAAAAAAAAAAATCTTTGAGGGTCCAGAAGGACTGCTGCTGAGGGAAGAGTTAGGTGTATTCAGGGTCAAGCTGGGCATGGGGCAGAGCCCTGGCTGCCTGTGTCTCCGTGGGTCCTGCTGGCTCCTGCTCCCAGGAGTTCTCATCTCACTCCACTGACTTAATGAAAGTCCTTCTCAAACATTTATCCACAATACCTTCAGTGCTTCATACCCAGTCCTCATTTTTCTCTTCACTGATCCCTTAAAGAACTCAAGGGGGAAAAACAGACACATTCTACATTCTTTTATGAAATGAATATAGCAAAAATTCTGACAGATGGAGGTTATATCAATTATAGATTTCCTGCTAGACTTGTCAGTTTTCCTAAAATATAGATTTGCCCTGTCACTCTGCTTTGAAAAGCCTTTGATGTATCCCTTCTGTCAAACAAATAAAGTCCAAACTCTTTCACTGGACACCCAAGCATTGGGGAGCCAAACAGCCCGGAGGGTAAGTGAGACACGGGACGGTGAACCCTCTCTGACCCAGTGAAACTGTTGGGCAAAGTGACTGGAATAGTGGATCATGCAGTCTAGGCAGGACGGAGAGGTGAAGCCAGGAGGGAAACTGGGAGAAAACTAAGAAAGGGTCTGGGAACTGGAAGCTTCAATAAAACTGAATGACAGTTTTACTGAAGACAGGGGGAGAAAGGGAAGAGGCACTGGTCAGGGCACAGGACACAGAAGTTTGCAACTCGAGCTGTAACAATCCTGGGAGATGATGAGGCCCAGGGAGCAGCTATGGGACCAGGCTCCTGGAGAAGTAGAATGGCTGAAGGGTCTGTGGAAGGAATCTCTGGTTAGGTGTTCACTTTCCAGGTGGATTCTGAAGCTGCACAGGATGGTGGCAGGACCTCTGATGAACAGGGAGCAGTGACAGGAGGGGAAGCACACGACTATGGAGAGGAGGAACATGGTCTGCTGCACAAAACTGAAACTGAAGTCTCCCCACGTGGAAGTGACTGGTTTGGATGGGCTGTACACCACCACCACAGTACCCCTCAGCGCCCACAGATGCACAGCGATGACCAACTTGTAATTTTGCTAATGCTTGAACCTGAGCCTCCTGCCATGCGGCTGTTGGGAAGCCAAATGTGT